TTCAAACCGCTGCGAAACCGGCGGCCGGCTCAGCACCACCACCACAACCGGTCAAGCCGGCTACAGCTGCCAAACCAGTAGCGGCGAAACCGGTGGGAACGCAGGGGACGGGGGCGGCAGGGGGGAAGACGAAGACGGCAACATCTGGTGGTGGTGGTGGTGGTGGTGGTAAGGGTGGTGCGACTCCCGCAGGCGGCAAGGACAAGGCACCGAAGGCGAAGACCGCAACAGAAGATAATTGTGAATGGAGGAGTGTTTCGCATACATGGCATAGAGCAGTCCACGTGATGCGGCATTACAGTGTAAGTTAGAGCAGGAGAAGCGGATACTGACGGAAGGCAACAGTGGGTTGAAGACGCATTTATTCATAAGGTTACATGCATATATATGACATTGTAAATGCTTCCGATGGGTAGCACGTAGGGAAAGTATGAACATGAATATTTACATATGTTTATATGCAAAATGCAGAATGAGGAATGGATCAGGGTGAAGAGAGTGCTAGATGAATTTGTACAACATATGCAGACGAATGAGCACCTCAGGGAATCATTAGGTGCAAACTGTGATAATTCAGGTTGGGATGATATAACAGCACCGAGAGAGTATTACATGAGCCAGACAGTAGCGGACATGATAAGATGTAGGCTGATGTCCGCAGCATTGTGGTTTGCGAACCAGGATGACGTGAAGGATGAGGAGGTGAACAGGTTAAGATGTGAAGTAGCAAATGTTTTTGGATACATCCTGAAAAACATGTATTGTCCGCGCAAGGGACAATGGGCGAGGGGCATAGAGTATGCATATACAGCAATGAGGAATATGGGGAAAAACCCGGATGGAGCACGAGTGCCGCACGGGTTGGCAGGTCCTGTTGTGGACGGAAAGTGTACAGTGTGTGGGTATAAAGGGTGGGAGACGACACCAGGAATAATAAATGGAGACATCGCAGAATGGTTCGTAGAGAAAGGAATAATGGCAGAAATAGGGAAACTAGAGGGCGACATGCCTTGTGAACAGGATTGGAGAAAGTATAAGAAGGCGAGCGGCGGTACTGACCATAAGGTTATAGAGGAGGAAAAAATACCTGAAGTGAAACAAGTAGAGAAAAAAGTGGTAGAAGACACGGAGAAGGTCATTGGGAAGGTGAAGGAAAAACTGCACGCAGAAATTGAAAAGGGTAAGGATACTACTCGTAAGACTACGAATACGAATATACGGAACGAACCGACACGGTATAACATTAATACGCGGGACGAACGGTACCGACATGGATGAACGGCCACGACAACCACGCCACGGCGGAAAACAGCACGGCACGTCGTTGAGCCGACAACAGCGGCCACAACAGCCCGGCACACGGCTTCGTTGAGCGGGGAGCGTACAGTGCAGGGGAGTAGGACGGACACGAAGGCAAGTGCCCCACTTCGGTTGCGCGCTGAGAGTGCAGCGGGACGGCGGACGATGGAGGAGCGTAACGGCAACAACAAATAAAAGTTGTACTGCTACCATCTACCGCAGTTCACCGAGTACGCAGTCGACCGAGTTCACCTCGCCGTGCGCTTGCTGCCGCCTGACCCAGTGCACCGAGTTCAACTAGTGCAGTCCACCGATTGCGCCTCGATCCATGCATCGACCCACTGCATCGAGCCGTACCCCCACCCTACCCTGGCGCTACCGGGCCACACCGTCCTGGCCCCTTCTTTCTGTACCACTTGTGTCCCTTTTTGTATCATTTGTTTACCATGTTTCTTCCATCCCGCATTGCAGGAACGAAACAGGTAGCTGGAGGAGGAGACAAGAACGGGAAAAAGCCGTCGTCAACATCACCATCACCAGAAGGAGCATCTGGGGTAGCAACAGGAACACCTTCCGGACAACCACGATCAGATGGCGCAGCAGGAGAGAACAGGGTCACAGCGGCACCAGTACCCGTACCACAACCCCCACCACCTCCACCAACGGTGCAGGAAGGAGACTCAGGAGTAGGAGGAAAAAAGGAGGACGTAGAAACCGTAGCCCCGGTACCACCGAAGGGTGATGCAAAAACTGATCACGCTAATACTCCAGCAGGTACGAAGACTGAACCAAAGTGTGGAGTTACCACGCAGACTCACGAATCTTCAGGTGTTGATGAGAGCGGTAATGCTCATTCTGTGGCCGTGACCTTCAACATCACTCCAACTGCGCCCGAATGTTCAGGATCTGGCACTTCAGGTGATGCATCCTATAAAAGAATAAAGA